TAATGAATTTAAGATAAATACACTGAATTAGTTGAATTCAAAATCGTGCTTAGATCAAGATGCTTAAAAACTACAGTTTTGTGGGTTTCTTTATTATTTTTCTTTATTTTTTTATTTTTATTTTTTTTAATGCTTATTTGTGTCCATTTTTACATGTAGCTTTCGAAAATCGAATTGTGAATTCGTTCATTTGGACTGTTAATGTATTTATACATTTCATTTTTTATTATTATTTTTTTTATTTTAGTGCTGTCAAACGATTAATTGCAATTAATCGCATCCAAAATAAAAATGACTGTTTACATAATAAATATACACAGTACACACACATATATTATGTATATATAAATACACACACACATGCATGTATATATTTAAGAAAAATATTATTTTATGTATTATAATATTTTTATATGAATATAAATATATGCATGAAAATACATGGAAATATTTTCAAAATATATACATGCATGTGTGTGTGTATTTATATATACATAACAAATATACACAGTACACACGCATATATTATGTAAACAATAACTTTTATTTTAGATGCGATTAATCGTTTGATAGCACTAATGTGCTTTAGATGTATTTAAACAGACCCCATGAAATCAAAGTTGGATTTTAGAGCCGTTTCTATGCCTGGCTTATATTTGATGAACACAATCTGTAAGAAAGTGTAGAAATGATTGACTCGACGTGACAAAGAGAATGAATCCTATTGTTTATTTGACTATTGATATACATGGTGTTCTAATTGGCAACAAAGAGTGACCGTTCCTGATTCCTCGTCTTTACAACAACACGAACTCATGAAGTGAACTAGTTTCCCGTTTACTCCGGACGTTGCTTCCAAACAAAGAGGGGAGAATACACAAGTTTAAACGCCTCATACTGCCGCATGCAAGTCCTAACAGTGTACAAAAGAAATCCTGGTTAATAAATAAACAGGCTCAAAATGATTGGAGGGGCAAATGTTCAGATGTCGCCTCGTCCTCAGACTCTGAGGATAAAGCAGGTCTCCAAAAACTGACCCAGGACCTGTTTGGTCATCTATACTGGCTACGGATCCGGCTTCACACCTGATCCCAGATCAGCGCTCACAGACGGCGCAAATCTCCCAAAAGTTGATCATCATACAAAAAAAAGTCTAAATAAAAAACAGCAAGTAAATACAGCAAATTCTACCATTATAAAATACACTTGCTTCAAGATAACTGATATTTTACATTACGTACATGTATATATATATATATATATATATAAAGCATAGATAAAATATGCCTTTTAATTACTTACTCTGCCATATGCTATTGTATTGCACAAATTGGTATTGTTTCGAAACAAACAGTAGATAGAAAAAATTCCCTGTGCTTAATTAGTGGCTGATAAAATACATACTGCATGAATCATATTATATTCAGAACTTCAGCATCAATGCATGAAAAGAAAAGAAAGACAATGGATGACAGAGATACGTGAGGTACGTTCGTTAATATACAGGATCCAATCAGAAGATTTGACGACAGGATTTCAGTGCATCTTTCATCCTTCACTTGCATTTGGTGTTTGTTAATTAAATACGCTTTCAGCGAGCGATAATAGTTTCTCGGCTTCATTTCACATGTTACAGATTTCCCTTTAAAGCATCTCTGAAATGCAGAAAGCAGATCTGGTTTTAATGCAAACTGAGTGTTGCAGCGGAAACCTGAAATCCTGTCAGACGGACGTTTAATTCAGGGCCTCCTAATGAAGTACATCTCACTTTCGAAAGATTTGAAATGTTGTGCATTTGCCATTTTTCGCCTCTTTTGTCTTCTGAGGATGCAGCAAATATTACTCGATAACATCAGATGATCTGAACTCCAGCTCTGTCCTGAAAACATGCGAGCGGCCTACATAGACAGCATTTATTAACAGCAAAGATATTGATGCTTAAATTGAAGATTTTTATATTTGAATTGCATATAAAATTCCCATGCAACTGGATTACAGAGTTTGAACATAAACTAGTAATGTGATGAATATTTATCAGTCGTGACAATTTCTGCACTTTAAAAAAAAATTATAATAAATAAAATAGTTATGCACCTATTTACATTTTTTGAAATAATCATATTTCCAAAATGCATTTATTAAAATTGCTTGGAGTCTGAATAAATCTGTCCATAGTGAAAATTAAATGTATTCAGTTGAGAAGTATAAACATGGTTAAATTTTATATTATTAATATATTTATCAAATATTTGCATGTATCTGATTTCATAATAATCACATGAAACGGGCCAAATTTCTGCACTCAAAATACACACACAAAAAAATCATGTTTAACTATTTGCATCTATTTGATTGTATTTAAATTTAAATCATATTTTCACAATTCATTTGCTTAGAATCATAAATAAGTCTCGTCATTGTGAAAAAAAAAATCTATTTAAAAAATATGCATACGGTTAAAACTGTGGAACAAGCAATATTCATTTAGTTAAAATATGTTTAATTATGTATGACTGACAACAAATTGAAGTTGGTATATGTATTTTGAGAATCTTTGTTTAATTTACAAGAAAATAATATTCCAGTTTTTCACGTTTAATTGAATGTGTATTTTGCAATTTCTTTGTAATTATCGGCAATTTACCTTAATAGTAATCTCTGAGTGAAAATGACTTCAAAGCCATTTTTATGCATCACATCAACTTTAGTTTGTCAGTGTGAAAACTTCAATCCAAATGCATAGAAATTGTATACGCAATTCAAACACAAATCTTAAATTCAGGCTGTTCCTTCTACAAAAAAGACAGACCTAAAATGCACTCCAAAAAAATGTCATATATAGTCAAATCTAATGTATTATTGAAGTCTCCTGTTTTTGTACAACCCACATTATTCGAGTTACAGTAAGTAGAGAGTTCAGAGTCACCCTAAGTAGGCAGCTGCCTATGTAGACTCACTAGGGTTTGAAACGGAGACCCCGCGTGCTTTATTCTGAGCATCACGACTCGTTCTGCAGTAATCAGAACGACTCTTTGGCTTTGTTGGATGAGGAGAGAGAAGTGAGCTGAACAGCCGTCCGAAAACATCACGTCAAGAAGCACATCTTGAGCACATCTCGCAAAACCTTCAGAGAAATGTATGGCTCCTCTCCTGTGCAAATAGAGTTTGACCAAAGGCAGTTCATCACACACAGTCCAGATGTTGCTAATTAAGCCCAGAAATAACTCACTCGCTCTGTTTCCATTTCAAGGCATTTTGTTCCGCTTCAAGTCAACATGAAACTGCATCTGCAACCCATTTTACTTCTGTAACGTGAGTAAAACACAATGATTGGATGGTTAAATTGGTCATATCAGCATTAAAGGAAAGTATTTTGAATGATTATTGAAATAAATGTGTGTTTGTTTTTTATAATAACGTCACGGATGAATCATTCACAAAACCAGAAACACTGATTTCATGTTGACTTTGTTCAACCTGGGAGTGAAAAACAGACGCTTTCTACTTCAACAGTAAATAAAATGTGATTTTATGGATAGAAATGTCGGTTTTAAAAATTACATTAAACATCTAGTGTTTTCTTCCATGCAAATGTGTTTAATTCTGTTAAAACCCAAAATAGGTGGGTTATATTTATTATATTTAACTTTTTGCCAATGGATGCCATAATTAAGCTGATGCAAATTAAATTGCATTTTTCGAAGTTGCCAAATATTTTATAAGAAAAAATGCACATTTAATTCAATGTTACGTGCCTTTTTTTTAAATATATTTTTGTTGAATTTTCTAGCAATTTCTGAGTTAAATTTTTTCTAATCCTTTTTTTTCCCCAGTGTAAGGAATATTTGATCTGTTCAATGGTTAAATTAAGTAAATAATTTCTAAAATCATTCTTGACGAATTGTCAAATGCATTTCAAATTAACCCAGAAATTCAATGTTGTTTATTAAGGAGCCTCAATGTATTATTCCGACTTTCTAGATCATTTCAAAACTATTTTCATGGGTTGTTGCCCTCACAGCCTCATTTTCATCAAATTAATTATGGCATCCAGCCTAAATAAGGTCCAAAACATCAAGTTCAAGTGTTCAAACGTAATGCAAACAAACCTCGAACTGAGACGATATAATAAAGGCTCTGCATCTGCGCCCTTCATGTCAGAATAATTGTATTAGCAATTAACCGAGCTTAAGTCTATTTGAGCCTCTGTGGTTTTTTTAAGCCTGTAAATGTAGTTTGCACAGGTCACATATCAGATTTCCTGTAAATTAAAGCCGTGTTGAGTCTGTGTAACTGTACACAGTGACATCTGATGCTTATTTACAGTTCAGTCGTCACATGACAAGACGGCGTTTTAGAAACACACACAGTTTGCACATGTGAAGGTTATGAATTTTCAGGTTTTAAAATGAGGTTATTGGTGTATTAAAGCAGCCTTAGGTTAAAAAAAATGAAATTTAATTTGAAGGTTTGCTTGCATCTCAATTGATTCAGACGAATTGGTCAAACATTGATTATCAAATTGGACGATTCCCTTGTAGTCAATAAATTTTGTACCACTAATATACAGCCATTTTTATGATACATTGCAGATTGTTTTGTTTAGATGTCATATGTGACCCTGGAGCACAAAACCAGTAATAAGGGTCCATTTTTCGAAATTGAGATTTATACATCATCTGAAAGCTGAATAAATAAGCTTTCCATTGATGTATGGTTTGTTAGGACAGTACAATGGTTTTTTTGGCTATTGCTGCAAATATACCCCAGCGACTTAACACTGCTTTTATGCTCCAGGGTCACATATTTTTCACTAATCTCTACGAATTAGTACTTTTTACTGGGATTTCCTGATAGAAACCACCATAAGCGAATATGTGAAGTCAATTCTTATAAACATGCCAAAGGAACGGTTTGCGTTTGATGCTATTTATGGTGAGTCTGCGGATGATTTACAAAAACCAAAACAAATGCATGAAGAAAGATGAATTATAAACACAGGATTAAGTTCTAGCAGGCACACTTGGGATCTATTGCTACATAAAACAGCCCTTCACCAAACCTGCCAACCCGCATTCAAGCGGACTGAACTCCTAAAGTCAGTTTGAGATAGAAAAACACGTGTGCTATAATCTTCACTAGTCGTATAAGCCACAGTTACAGCTGGAGGCCGTGACAGTAGAAACTTTGACACGTTTTCAATTCCAATAAGTATCATTAATGATATTCCTAAATGTAGCAGATTATTGCTGAACGTATAGTGTGCAAAACAATTATTCTCAGCCTTAAAAAGAAAGTGTTCTCGTTAACCCCTCCATACCATGCAGTTTCCACATGCAAAATAAATACTTCTCCATAGAAACAAATGTGTGGCGCGCTCGAAAGGAAGCATGTGCAATAGTTCGCTAGAAGTTAGTAAAGACAGGTTTTAAGCGAGTGACCATTTCTGGTGCATGTCTGATTGTCTTTTACTAGTCTCGATATCTGCACCTTGTGACGGCATTGAGCGAAACATTGAAAAAAATGGCCAAAAAAAAAAAACCAGAAAGTGCAAATACTCAGGCTAAACCACTGCCATTTCATCGCTAAAGAAAGAGGTAATCGTCATGCTTTCCAAAACGGCGTGAAGTAGGATAACATTTACATGGATGCACCACTAAATGCATTATCTCAGATCTTAAAAGGAATCACGCCTTTTTAAGTAAGACCTCTAATGAACTTACAGTCAGGCTGACGCTTTGATTAAAATGCATTGCTTTCTGTCTAATATATGATGATTGCATCCTCTATAACTGCGACTATGGATCTCATTCATGCATTCAAACTGTGAAGGTGTGCATGTTCAGTGTGACACTTTCCCCTTTGAAACAAACGTGAACCACAAGAGAAATAAGAGTTTACAAAAACCTCCAATGCACAACCACAGGATTTTGTGTCTATGTTACATTCGGTAAACAAAAGGAAAAGACGTCCGTCGTCACAGAAACGTCTCGCGATCTCGGTCTGTCAAAGGCTCGCTGAGGTCCGTGTTCGCGGCCTCCGGGATTAGAGCGTGAAAAAGCTCGCTAGTCGCTCGCGTGACGCTGTCGTAGGATGGCGGACACGAAGTAGCCGAGAGCGTTTCCGTAACTTCGACCTCGGCGCCGTAGTTCTCCATGATCATCGCAACTATAAGTCCTTCGTTCTCCGGCGAGCTGTCGCCGTCTTTGGCGGAGTCTGGCATGTGGAGTTGACGGTAAAGCAGCGAGGCTTGTTTCACCTGGCGCCGCATTAGATGCCTCCGATACGAGCGCTGGATCATAGCGGCGGAAACGTCCTCTTGCTTGCGCCGAAGCGTCGTCGTGATCGGTTCGTAGGAGATCTTGGACGGGTTCGCCATCATGAACTTCTCCTCCATTTGTTGCTTCAACGCGTCCATTTCGTCCGACTCTCCAAGAACGCGTTTGGTGAACGCGAAGAGGATATCCAAACAATGGATCTTGTCGCCGCTCACCATCGGAAGGTCCATGGAAATCAGTTTGATTTTGTTGGGTTTAGTGATGCGCAGCGGCTCGGAAAGCGAGTCGGCGAAATCCGAGAGTTTGGAGTATTCGATGAACTGCATCGCCTCCGGATCGAACTTCTCCCAGACTTCGTAAAACATCTCGAAGTCGTCCTCGCTCAACGGCTCCGTGCTCTCCTCGGTGGCCACGCTGAAGTTCTCCAATATAATCGCGATGTACATGTTCACCACGATGAGAAACGAAATAATAATGTAGGTCACGAAGAACGTGATGCCCACCGAAGGATTCCCGCAGTTTCCGCGAACGTTCGTCCCGGTGTGAGGAACATCCGGGTCGCACTCTTCCGGAGAGTTGTTGAGGATTGGACTGAGCAGATTGTCCCATCCGGCCGACGTTGTGATCTGGAAGAGGCAGAGCATGCTGTTTCCGAACGTTTCGAAGTTGAACATGTCGTCGATGCCGCTTTGCTTCTTGACGTAGGCGAAGTTGGCCATGCCGAAGATGGCGTAGTTATCTTTTAATATTTTTTGTCATCCTAACAATACGCATCAGGAATATCAAATACTGAGTTGCTTTTAAAAGCTGAGAAACATTTGTTGCATTGAAAAGAACTGTGAGAAGATACTTTTTGCTTTGCATGAAAAAATGAACAGCATGTGGGTTCGAAAAAAACACGAACTATTCATTTGCAGTCCATGACCACCAGAAGAATCCAGACGCCACACTTCGACTAGACCAATAACCAGCCGTGATTTATTGAAGAGTCTGTGCCACTTAAGAGTTAAATGGCTGGTTTTTACATTTGCGACGGTGTGTCTTTAAGCGTTTAACCCTGTGGAGATAGAGACGGCAGCAGGGGGTCGCAGCACGAAACCACGTCAAGCTTTTAGCTCGGACTGAGAGCTCAATCACTGACCAATCCCCTGAGCTGACAGCCCTGATTGCCCAAATTACCTTCTCCTTAACGATCTCCCCTTTTCTCCGGGACTCTCTGCGCCTGTTAACCCCTCTGGCCTTCCTCGTTCTCTCATCAGGGTCATTATTTTATTTATAATATTAATTATTTTGAACAAAGTGGAAAAGAGGTGGGTGGTATGAAAAACGTTACATTTGTATTAAACATAATTAAATAAATAGAAAAAGAAAAATCAATTCAATTAATTTTTTTAATACATTTTTATTAAATTGTATTAAATTTTATTTATTCAATTTTTTAAAAT